TCTTTCAGGAGATTTGGAACAGGATGTGGAGATTTTCACCCCTAGCTCAACACTGTGGGTTCTTCATTTCCAAGGACGTTGCAACACCTCCCCACAGAACTGCTCATATATCCATGGCAAAGTGACATACTTGTGGTTGTGCAATGTGCAACTTGTGCTGACCAAATCAGTAGAGTCATTGAGAGGGATGGCATAGCTCCTGACACCACAGGGGAGCTGAGCAAGCTGTGCTACAAGGAGGACCATGGCTGTACGAGATCAGCCTGATGTTCACCCCTTTGAATGGTGCTTTGGAAAAGCACAGGGGAGCTGGCAAGGTGGCTAACCCTTCAGCATGATCTTTCCCCTTCCGTGGGGGAATCTGCAGGAAACAATATACTTGGAGGAGGTAAGTAAAAGGGCTTCTAGGAAGTGAACATGTAATTTTGTAAATTGGAGATTTGCATACATCAACTAGTTTAAAAATTAATTGATCTTTTCTCTTTTGTTTTGTTTTGTTTTTTATTCTCTCCTTGACTTTCACTTTTTTGTCTGAGGTCCTCCAGGCCTCTGACCTCACTCTCTCACGTAACGCAATGCTGTCAGCCCAAACCCAGAGAGTCTGTTTATCTGTCAGCATTTGTAAATCCTTCAGCCGGACTCTTGCAAGCACAACTGGTCCAACATGATGGGAGGGTGTTGTCCTATAAAGTTCTTTAAGTCTTCTGATCCCATGCAATTTATGAAGATACTGGCCCAGGGTACCAGCCACTTTGATTAAATCAACCACACAAAAGAGTCACAAAATGCGTTTAAGTGGGCAGAGAAGGACTGTGCAGCAATGAGACTTGGCTTTGTTTCTTTGTTTGGCTGGGAAGACCCTAACTGTAGATAACGTGTGCCAAGACCTAACTGGGAAAAAGAGTATTTCTGCTGTGATACACATGCTAGAACAACCCTGTGGGGCATGGCACCCAGCAATAAAAGATTAGAGCAACCTCAAACTGCTCTAAGTTGTGCCAACAACCCGATGGGCTTCAGGACCAAGGCAGACCCACGATCAGAGGCTGCTAGCCACCCCAAGCACTATGTTCAGCTGGACACAACAAACCGGTCACCGCTCCAACAAACCGGTCGCCGCTCTTCTGTGTCCCAGCCCAGCTCAAGGCCTTGAGAATTGCTCGTGTGCATCCCTTCTGCAGGCACTGGAATTTGCTCTACTCAAACTCGCCACTTCCGTACAGTTATGGTGAGAAACCAGTCCAACTCCTAAGGCCTCTCTGAGCAAAATGGTCTGGAGAAGGGTCGAGAAATTCTTCCTGTCAACAAGAGCCTGGGGCTTTTTAATTTACTAGGGCTGTTGAGTCAATTCTGTATGTGTGTGGCTCAATCATTTCCTGGGTTTATGCTGAAAATTTACAGAATATCTGAAGCAGATCACAACTTCTCCCATCTAACTTCCAGGTGGTCTGTCTGCAGAATCAGGATATCAGCATAGATTGTATCATGTTCAGGTTTCCTTTGACACTAGCGTGTGTAGAATTTACTTCAAATTAAGGACAAAATTATGCAAGCACACAATCCAAAAAAGACACAATTTCTGGAACAGCTCCAAGTCCGTTCTGGGCTCTTCCCCAGTGAAGAGAACGCATTGTCCAGGGTCTAGCTGAAGTGTATTGAAAAGGATGGGGAAGGTGGGTTTACAGGCAAATAGTTTGTTCCCCAGAATTTAAAAGATCAGGAGGAACACATTTCTGGGAAGCCTGTTAAAAAATAATAATAAAAGGCCAGCTGCCAATTTAGGCAATATCTGTAACAAATCAAGCATGAGTCACTTCAGGAGAAGAAATCATTTGAGAACCCAGCTGCTCTTTTTGCTCCAGAGTGGCAGGGGTAACATCTACAGGAAGGATCTCCTATGCTTGTGGACAGCTGCAAACAATGAAATCCACTCCAGGAAGCTGATTAGAGGATGGTGGCAGGTAGTGAACAAGAACACTCTAAAATTCTGTTTTCTGATAGCCGGCATTGGAAAGGCTGGTAACATCATATGGGTGCCGGGGTATCGAATCTCCTTAGCTCTCGGTGAAGGAGGACTGTAAGCTGGCACACGGTGCCAGAAGACCCCCCAAGGCCCTGCTGACTCTAATCAGAATACCAAAGTGGGAACAGCGCACAGACACATATGTTGTTTCTGGCTCAAGATGCTCGTGCGGCTCTTGTTTGATTTCCAAGGCATTTGAAGAGGTTGTGTGCAGAAGGACCTATCGACCTCCTTCATGCTCATGTCTCAGAGGTATGGCGTGTCTGGAGGACCAAGGCTGGCTCCCATGTTACAGAGTTCAGAAACGCAGGTCAAAACCTGCATCTTTGCCTCCTCTAGTTTTTCCTCCGAATCTGTATCATTGTATCTTTGACAAACCACAGCAGCAGATCTCCTGTCTTGGTACAATGAGGAAGCTGTGAAACATTTCAGCATTTTGCTAGTTTTCAGGCAGACAAATGTGAAGTCCGTTTATTCATTATCAGCCTTCCTCAAGAACCGTCCATGTTATTGGGAAAGCCCGTTTATGGGAAATACTATGTTCAGTTCAAATGCTTCTGCATTCCTCAATATCTAACTATTGCCTTCTGGAGTCTAGAAACTCTAAAACTACACCACTTCAAACACTACCACTTCAAAAGTCAGGATTTCTTATCTTCAGTCTGTGATTTAATGATAAAAACACCCAAGGAGAATGAACATCCAGGCATCTCCTCAAGCAGTAAGATCAGAAATGACTGTGGAAGGCATTTGGGTCCCCTGGGTTCCTGTTAACACAGACCTGTCTTTTCTGGCAGATGAATAGTGACAGTGCAGACCTTCAAAGCACCTCCTTTTGGTTAACACTTTGCTGCCCTTCCATACACACTCATTCAATTCCCATCTGGTTTTAGCAATTGGTATCTTGGGACTCATCAGAAAAGGAAATCATCTTACCATCTGCAAGTAAGGAATTAAAGCTTTCAAATGATATGAAATAATTAGGTCTGTTTCATATGGCACATAAAATCTTAATGGAATCCATCACTGAGCTTCGCCTCTGTTCATCAGCTATCATAGCAGCCTGGTTTGAAGGTAGACTGTTTCTTTGCAAGGCTGGAATTACTTTGGTTAAAACACTCTATCTGCTGAAGACACTTGATAACTACCATGTGTATCCTTCCTTAGGAAAAATGGAGCGTTACCGTTATAGCTGCGTATGACAGGAGTTCAGGTAACCCTTGCTATAATTAGAAATTTATACGATTTGAAAAGTCTTGATCTGGATTCAAGTTCTTCCCAAAAGAAATAGCATTGAAATCTATGCTTTTGGCACCACCACGTTGCTTACACATAGAGATATTGATTCATACACTCCTCCAGGCTTCAAGGGTTAAGCCCTCCCCAGCATGGCAAGAGCGGATCTGCTGGGGCTTACTGGAGCTACAGCTACAGCAGAATAGTGGCTGAGACTTTGATTCACATATGGGGCTTCCCCTATGTTTCCTATGGGGAACACTGGCAAGATGAACTTACAGTGCCACCAAGAAGCCAATGGCAGAGACAGCTACCCTAAAGCACAGGTCTGTGGTGTACGAGGGCTGCTCTCACTTCACGCACATGGGAAATGTGGAGGACCACAGCATCTGGCTTCTGTCCTACCCGGCTCTTTTCATGTCTGAAGGGGCAAGCCTGGGAGAACTGGAAGATGCTATTCATCCTATGTCCTTCCCACCACAGCTGATCCTGCATTGGAAAGTGAGAGCACAGGAGCTCAGCAGAATGCGTTTCCACATGGTCTTTCCCACTGCTCCCTGACAAAACAAAGGAGTACTGGGAAAAGGGAGGAGTTGTGCTAAGCGTAATCCAGCTCACAACCTTTCCAGGAGGGGTGATGGTTCTGTTCAGATGCGTCCTTCAAGGCCTGAGGAGCTGAGGTGTCTAGTGAGCATCACACCACGCAGTGGCAGTGGTAGTAGGTTGACATCCACAGATGTAAATACCTTTGGCTGTGCGTCTCCACGGAGAGGTCTCTGAGCCATGCAGGGAGAAAATAGTCACCCCCGGGCTTCTCCAAGCTGGGCACAGTGACGCCTGGATCCCCAGGTGAGCTCAGAAGCTGACTGCATCTGCTCAGCGAATGCATACCCAGGGCACCACCTCATGCTCACTCCGCAGGAGCCCGGGGGCAGGTTCAGGTGTGCTTTGGGTACCTCCATCTCCAGCACTGGCAATCAGACTGCACTTTTCATTCACAGTCCCCATTAGGCTTGGAGGGTGAGCTGTGAGATGTTGTTGGGCTTGCTGGCTGTGATAGGTTTGAACCAGAGGTGAAAAGGTCTCACATCCCATTCCACATCCCTCGGACTATGCAGCCCCACTGTAACCTCTCCAAGAAATTTCACTTTAAGGATAACTTCGTGTGTCTCCCTAGAAAGTCTTAACATTTGAAGGGGAGAAATAAACAACCCACAGCCTGCCACAGAGCGGCACAGAGTGGTGAACAGCTGTGTGCTAAACTCGCTTCTGGGCCCATGAGGTGCAGATAGGAGAGGTAAGAGGCAGGTCTCAGCAAGGGACCCCCTCCAGTCATGGAGGAGGGAGGTGGCCGTGCACTGGGGAAAGCCCCCCTGCTCAGACAGGAGGACGCGTCAGCAGGGGACACGGAGCTTTGACCTAGCTCAGGGAGAGCAAAAGGGACCCGACCTTCCCTGAAGCTGCAGAGGAGAACGGGAAGAAAGGGAAAGGAAACAGCCAGGACAAACATATTCTTAGAGGAAGAGTCAGGAAAAGTGAACAGTGGCACTCACACAAAAAAGAAAATACGAACCCTCCTCCTCCACCCCCACCCCTCTAGTCTCCCTTTCTGAACCTGCACAGCTCAAACTGCAATTGCCAGGAGAATTTCAGAGCTACCCCTCCTCCGGCAGATGCACAGAGGTCTCCTCTCCCCCAGCCAAGTAATTTCCATATTGACACAAGAACTGCACTCACTTACTTGCAAGACAGCTGATTAATCCCCTCGATGTAGTAGCATACCCCACCATTGACACAATAGGACTTGGCTGTTTCGTTGCATTTTCTAGCATGCCCGGACCAGGAGGAGAGAGTTGTGGTTACTGCAGGAAAAGAAAAAACACACACAAAAAGGATATATTGTTATTTCCTTTGTTGGGCAATTCTGTTTTCTTAGATGATTTTCAACTAGTTCATTTGCCAAAGTAAAAACCCCAGAGCTACAAATGTCAGCCTGTGCCTTTAGACCCACCTTCACCTCTCCAGGTCCTGGGGCTGCGACTTGACCTTTCCTTTCCCAGCAAAACTGGCCAAGTGAGTGAGGAGTTGAGGACATGCCTCCCTCTAAGCAGCCAGCATGTCAGGACAAGATCATCTTTTTGGCAAGCTGTAGGGAACCTTTCCCACCTCTCCTTGCCCTCCCCTTATACACGCATGCAACCCTGCACCAGCAGGCAGGTAGGAGGTTAGGAAGAACATGTGCTGCAGAGTCGCAGAGTCGTGGTGGCATGCTGCTGGGACCTGATTTGCATCATGATACTGGACCAAGACCCAGCGATACTGCAGGGGACATTTCATTGCTCCACACCTCTGGGAGGAAATACGTTTTCAGAACCAGAAGTGCCCTCATTGTCCCTGGAACAGGTCCAGTGCAAGCAAGAACAGCTCTATCTCTCCCTCCCCTAATTCTGAGATTTCTCTGTCATGCCCCCATGGGGTGCCTCAGGAGAACAAGCAGAAGTTCAGCAGCAGAAGTCAGTCAGCCCCGGTCTGAGGGAGGCAGCCAGCAGGACTCAAGTTTCCTGGGATAGAGATGCTTTTCCAAATCCAAATTTCTTTCTGGAGAAAAGCTTTCCAGCCATGTAAGGTACAAACAAAACTGACGGTACTCTGCAGGATTTCACTGCAATTCCTGTCTCTGAATGAGTCAGACAAAGTTACAGCCCAAAACAGAGAGTCTCCATAGGCAAGACAAAGGCTTCTAAGAAGGGAAAAACCTTTTGTTAGAGCAACTGATACAGGTTACAAAAGCAGACCAACTTTGGGGAATGCAAACCCATCCTCACATAACTGAAAGAAGAGCTGGGCACTCAAAAGCATCTGCTTTTTCCAGCTGAATACTTAATCTCATTAAAGATAGTCCCCCTTCCTGGACTACCCACCTTGCTTACACCCTAACACAGTTACATCTCCAGTAGTGGGGCTACTACCCACTTTCCAGTGCCTTTTATGCTGTACTCGAGGTTTCTGAGGAGATACCCTCCTCCATCCCATTTTCCAAAGCATGAACGAACTTCATGGAGAGGTCAGTGACTTCAGACTGAAGACTGAACACCTCATTGACACAGGATTCGAGGAAGAAGGCTGGAGCCAGAGCCCCAGGCAGGAGCCAGTCAGAACCACGGGAGAAGCAGCAAGGCATGCCAGAGCCTGCCCCGGAGGGAGCCAGGGCTGCTCCCCACACCTCGGGCAGCCCCCGTGCCCGTCCCGCCCCCCCCGCAGGGTCCGGGCAGGCTCAGAGGCTGCCACGGGTGCCTGCCCTGCTGCCTCCGGCTGCATCCCACACTGCCAGAGCCAAGGTCTCCATTCTCACGCTCTGGCTCCAACCCAGTGCCTGCTGGGCACATCTGGGCTCTCACAGGTAAAGGAGGGCTCCCAGCATGGTAGAATCATAGAATCATAGAATAGTTTGGGTTGGAAGGGACCTCTAAAGGTCATCTAGTCCAAAGCCCCTGCCGTGGGCAGGGACATCTTCAACTAGATCAGGTTGCTCGGAGCCCCGTCCAACCTGACCTTGAATGTTCCCAGGGATGGGGCATCTACCACCTCTCTGGGCAACCTGCGCCAGTGTTTCACCACCCTCATTGTAAAAAATTTCTTCCTTATATCTAGTCTAAATCTCCCCTCTTTAAGTTTAAAACCATTCCCCCTTGTCCTGTGGCAACAGGCCCTGCTAAAAAGTTTGTCCCCATCTTTCTTATAAGCCCC